GTGTTGAAGGACAGCTTAATATAATTTCGCTTCAAACCCACCAAGTGATTTGGCTGTAGAGTGAAGAGATTTGCTCATGAGTTCAAGAGAAAAAGTTTATTGGGGAGACAATAGGGTGAGAACTCAAAGGCAGATACATGAGTTAAAGAGGTGAAAACTCCAAACTGTTTCCATCTCCACTTGTGATATGACTGCCACCAGCACCCTCTGAAGAACACATGTGCAGTCACCATACAGCCCCACACCCCAGCATCAAGCCTGCCCATTCCCATCTTAACCCTAAAGATCTGAGTAACACTCACCAAATCCAAATCTTCTTTGGGGACAGTCTCCACTTTAGCAATTTTCCCCTGAAACTTCTTAGAAAGAAAAGATGAAACTTCTCGCTCACAGCCCTAAATCAGGATGAGAATGAAAGGCCTTTCCATTAACAAATCTATTTCCCTTCTATGCCTGTCTCCTTAAAGGCTTTCTTAATTCCATTTCTGAAGCCCCCATAAAACAAGACATAAGTTACCTGACCTGATTTTGTGACCCACATTTACCTTTAAACAAAACAAACAAAACAGAAACCTTTGAAAAGGGCAGATTTATTAGCAAAGGGAGGGAGGACAAAGAGGTCCCATCACAGTCACAGGGCTGAAGAGCTGGCACACATTACCTTTTTGGTTGCAATGTAGAAATATGGCTTGTAGGGCAAGGCCACCTTCAAGAGTTGCCAACCCATTCATGGGTGATGAGGAAGAAAGAAAAAGATTATATAAGGGGTTGTTCACTGTTAAACCCTCAGACAGTCTAGATCTAATGCATCCTTGACCCCACACACCTCTGCCTGTACCCCAGTTCTTGTATGCATAAATAAATAAAATGTTTAAAAAGAAGGCCCTCCCTGGTGGCACAATGGGTTAGGACGCTGTACTGCAAGTTAGCTGTTACCGCTTCAGTGTGAATTCGATACCTGGCCCGGAAAGTGACCCACATGGCACAGCAGACCTCTCGTCTCGCCCACTGCTCCCTTCAGCCATGTACTTTTTCTGCTCTCCACTCTCTGGTGAATCCTCTCACTACCTCTGCACCTCTGGCCTGTACCCCAGTTCTGTATGCACAAATCAATATATCTTAAAAAAAAAAAAAAAGGCCTGGCCCTCCCTAGTGGCGCATCGGGTTAAAGCACTGCACTGAGAAGCTAAAGCCACTTCCGCATGAGTTCGATTCCCACCTGCCCCGGAGGTGACCACAGGGTGTGGCCCGACCCCTCCTGACCCGCCCACTGCTCCCCTCAGCAGTGTACTTTGTCAATCTGCCTGTTCTGCTCCCCACTCTGTCTCTGGTGAAGCCTCTCACTGCCCCTGAGCCTCTGGCCAGTTCTGTATGTACAAATAAATAAATCTTTAAAAAAAAAAGGCCTGCCCACATGGCAAGGGCGAAGGCCTAAGAGACATGACACTGATCATCTTTCGGTTCTTCCAGCTGTATTTCTGGGATGTTCTAAGTGGTGTCTTTTAAATAGTTCCAGGGACCATGTTCCTAACAGGTTTCAGGCTACATATCTTTCTACTAATGATAGGGGAGCTAAAGGAACACTCATCACTGGCAGCCCAGCTTCACCTCATCACTGATGACTGGCTTTTCAATTGTGGGGTTTAGGGGCTTACCTTAAATCTGCTCCCATCGTCTTGGATAAAGTAGTAGTCCACAGCACTGACCAGACGCTTATCTTCATCTAAAATCTCGGTCTGTGGGAGAATTGGTCCATACACACCTGGTTACCCTCCATGTGCAGAAGAGAACCCTAAGTGGGAGGGTCAGGGCATGCCTGGGGCTTACAGGGTGCATGTTGATGAGCCAGCCAGTCTTCTCCCCAGGCTCCTTGAGCCTCTCAAAGCCAAACCGCAGATCCATCTTATCAGTCCACTGACTACGTTCCAGGCGCTTGAGTGCAGAGATGGAGGAGGGGGTGCCATCTTCCCTGGAGGGAGGAAGCACATTTGCCTTACTGGTATGTACCCACTTGCCCAGCCCTCCACCACCCTTACTATGCGTGTTAGGAGTAACATCAGAGCCTGCCTGAAAAACCTCATTTATGGCAAAACAGTTCACGAAGGACAGCGCCAGGACCCTGGAAGCAAGTTTCTTTATAACCAGAACACTAATGAAAGCAATAGCCAGAGCAGGACACACAACCTACCACTTACCCCTGGGTATTTACCCCACGAAATGAAAATGTGTTCATACGAAACTGTTCTGGCTGTTCCTAACAACTTTATTCCTTATAGCAAAGAAATGGAAACAACCCAGATAAGAGATAAACAGTTAAAAGGGTGTGTATCTCCATCACGTGGAACACTAGCCATTAAAAGGAACAAGCTTATTGATACAATATTTTAGATGGATTTTAGATGGAAATGTTCAAGGAGACTGAGTGCAAAAAGCCAACCATCCAAAATGATACACTTTAAATTTATTTATATTTAATTCTTTTAAATGTTAGTTGCTAGAGGGGAACAATTTCTATTATGTAAAATTTTTAGGCACATTATAAGAGACAATGAACATAAAAGTACTTTGAGGGCCTCCCCTGGTAATAACACAGGGGTTAAAGACATGGCACTATCAAGCTATCTCCAGCCACCGCAGCATAAATTCAATCCCTGGCCAAGGAGTTGACCCACATGGTACAGCAGACCTCTCCTAATTCCCCACTGCTTCTTTTAGCAGTGTATTTCAGGAGCTCTGCCTGTTCTGCCCCCCACCCTGTCTCTGGTGAATCCTTTCACTCCCTGCAGATCTACCCAATACCCCAGTTTTTGTATGCATAAATTAAAAAAATTTTTTAAAATGCTTTGAAAATGGCAAGGTTGGCAAAATAGTATAATGTAGAAATGCCAAAAACCTAATGACCAGATTCTGTCAAAAACAAGCAGTGAAGTTTAAATCACACAATAGAGGTGACAGGTAGGTAGGGTTATCTGTACATAGTGGTTGCTTGAGATATATTTGTGTTATTTATTTTTTAAAAGATTTACTTATTTATGCATATAGAACTGGGGTACAGGCCAGAGGTGCAGGGGCAGTGAGAGGATTCACCAGAGACATAGTGGGAAGCAGAACAGGGAGACTTGAGGAAGCACTGCTGAGGGGAGCAGCAGGAGAGACAGGAGAGGTATGTTGCGCCATGTGGGTCAGCTCCCTGGCTGGGGATCTAACTTGTGCATAAGTGCCTGCTGCTTGTATTGCAGTGCTGCGCTTTAACTTGTACCACCAGGGAGGGCCCTGTGATATTTATTTAAAATCAATATAAAGTTTTTAGTCATGAAATCTGAGTTGAAAGTATTTACTGAGCAGCACAATTGGATAACTCTAACACTGGCGCCACAGTGCACCTGAGAGGCACACTTCACACAGGACAAGAATGTGAGGGTCAGGATGCACTGGGCTGCATGTTTCAGCTCAGTGTATGAATGTTTGGAGATGGCAGAGGTCAAGCTAGGCCACTTTCTTCTTGACCTATGGCTGAAAGTGGCTTTACGTTCTACACAGCAGTCACTAATCATGTTTTTACAGCGGCATTTTTCTAAATGCACAAAAGTGAGAACAGTTCTGACTCCACAGTGCTGAGCACAGAGAAAGTATGGCCTGCCATGCAGAACCAAGCCAGGTGGAGGCTCCTCTAATGAGTGCATACTGAGCCACAGTCTCTTGAATATGGCCGACAGCCATGGAAGATGGTGACCCCTGTTCTCCTAGGCAAGGATGTTATCCTGTTCTCCTAGGCAAGGATGTTATCCTTGCCTAGGAGAACCTGCAACTGAAGCGTTGTGGACCTCACCCGCCCCTGCTCAGGATTGCAAGCGCTAAGGGAGGTCCGGTGAACACTGCCACAGCACAGTAAACCGCTCCCTACAAGCTCTCTCTGGCCAGCCCTTGAGTCAGTGCAACCGAGATGAAGCAAATGTTCGTGTAGGAACAACGACCTCAGCTACTAGGAAGCTCATCTCTCACACCAGCTCATTGGCCTGGGACCTGCCCTGACTCTCAGGCCAGAATCTATGGCAACTCTCGCCCTGCTTGACTATGGAAGGGGCCTTGTGTACAATGACTGTCCCCACCACTCCTGGCCTGGCCACTTAGACCATGTAATTCGCGCCTGGTGACGATTAGTGGGCAAATCTACGCGCGTGAGGACGAGGCAGAGTGGGCACTTCCAGGGCGCCCGGGTGGCCAGCAGGGCCGGGAGGTGCCAGAATCGGGAACTCCCAGGGCAGCGCCCAAGTCCATTGCCACGGTGAATGATTCCGGTCCCCGCGCCACGAGGGCGGGCTGCGGGAAGGACGTCGGCAGCCGCACAGCAACCGCAAGACGCCGTCGGGCCAGACTCGCCAAGCAGTCCTCTCGAGAGGACCTCCTGCAGGAAGGGCTGGAGCCGCCGAATTTTCTACTGGCGACTGATGCTCCAGGAGTCGGTGGTGCCAGCGCGCAGCCCCGCGCACCCCTAAGGGTTGGGCGCCGCGCCCCCCGCCCGCCCCGGACTCGAGGTGCCCGGCAACCCGCGTCTGGGTCAGGCAACCGGTCCCGCTCCCGTTGCGCACCCAGCCCCGCGGGCGGGCTGTCCGGGATGGCCGGGCTGCTGGGTGGTAAGTCAGGCCTGCCTGTACCCCTCACCGACTGAGCTCGCCATCCGCGCTCGGCTCCGCAAGTCGCCGCCCGCTATTCCTCAGAACCATTCTGCCGCGCCGCCGCCCGTCTGGAGAAGTTTGGCGCGCTCCACCAAGTATCGCGAGAGCCCGGGAGCGCCTCGCGCCCAATCAGCAGGCCCGTCGAGCCCCGCCCCGCCCCGCTCCAATCGCCGCGGGCTCCCGGGATGGTGGGGTGGGAGTGGAGAGGTATCCCGTTAGGGACTCACGGTAAAGTGCGCAGAGGCGCTTGCGGCGCAAGGCGGCTTTGGGTCTGGGCGGCGCGGCAGGGACAGGGCGGGAAATGGCAGGCCGTCCCCGCCCCCCGCTGCCTTTTGCCCGCGGAGCTCCGGGCGTCCAGTTGGGAGTTGGGAGCCCTGCCCGGAGGCCATGGCGCCGGCGGCGTCGAAGCTGAGGGCCGCGGCTGGTCTGGGGGCGCTTCCCCGGCGGGCGCTTGCTCAGTACCTTCGTCTCCTGCGGCTCTATCCGGTGTTCACCAAGGCGGCCACCAGGTCTGCGGGGAGGACGGGCAGAAGGGGGGCGGGGCTGGAACCTTATGCCGTGAGCCCGATGGCCCGGAGCTCGGTGGCTGGAGCCTGACGGCCCTGAGCATCATCGCCCGGAGCTCCACTGCAGGAGTTCGAAGGCTTTAAGCACCAGACCCAGCGCCCATCGGCCTGGAGCCGGCGGCCCAGTGATCATCTACATACAGGAAGGCAAAATCCTCCTGTGTCAAAATGACCTTCCAAAGCTGGGAAATGAGGCAGAAAACTTGGCAAAAGGGGTTTTGAGTGTAGTTTTCTGAAAAGTAATGTTTACAGACTAAAATGGAAACACCAGGGAGGAACACACAAAGTTGGAGAATTTCCGCAGACTTCTGGGCTTGTGCTCTTTGCCCAAAGAGACAGTGTGGGTGAAGGGTCACCCTCTTGCAGCCTGTTCCTCAGGATGGTGTGGGGTGGGTGCCCCAGGTGCAGCTGTTCAGATTTGGGAGAAGCTGAAAAGCTTCTGGTGACAGGACGTTCCCCTTGATGTGAGGCGCGGGGTTTGTTACTTTGGATCACTGATTAGCCAGAAGCAGGTAGATGGCACACAGAAGGTGTGTGCCGAACATGACCCTGTGTTGCGCTAGGGTAGCGGTCAGCAGGGCAAAGTCCTGTGGGTAGAACAAGCTGGTGATGGCAGTGTAGTCAGTGTTACCGGAAGGCTCGGCTTACTTTCCCTCTGCTAAAAAAAGGAAACAGAGTTTGAGGAAAAGGAAAGTGGTTTTATTTGTCGGCAAATGAGGAGGGCAGACTCATGCCAGAAAGACCACTACTCTTTGGCAAGTTACAGGGCTATTTATACAATGTTAAACAAAGAAAAAGGGGAGGTGGGTGAGAGTTTGCAAAGGGGAGGGAGTAAAAGTTAGTGCTGGGATGGAGACAGGTGGGCATCAGCCTTTATTTCACAAAGAGAAACAAAAATGGGAATCAGCAAGAGTAATGGAGAGGGGGTAGGCTTCAGCACACAGACGAAGAGGAGTCCCTGTGGTGAGCTTTCTCACTATTTACTTTTGTTTGTGAACCTTTCCTTGAGCCTAAACCTGTCAAGAGAAGAGAAAAAAAGGAAAAGAGGAAAAAAAAAAATAAACCCACAGTCAATTAAGAGCTCTGGGAAAACCAATTCCATCATAAATTTGTTAAAGGAGGCAAATCCGCAAATGCTTATCTGAGAGCCCATTTACTGTATCATCAGGACAGTGGACTGTGTCCCTGGAAAAATGAATAGCAACAGGATGAAGATGAAAAAGGAGCAGCCAAGGATCAGAGCAAGAGGGTGCTTCTCAGGAGGCAGTGTAAACCTACTCTTGGAACACTTGGATCTGTCTCTACATTTTCTTAAAATTTTTGTTGCAATAAAGAAAGATACTGAAATATAAATTTTTATTGCAATGAGGGCAGATCTCTGCAGTTGTGAGCAGTCATCTGCCGGGTTTCCCCAGTGATTACAGTTGTCAAACCAGGACCCAGGTCAGTTTGGTTTCCCCAGCTTTTCTGGCATGTGCCTGCATGGTGCTTGTGTGTGTGTTTGGTTGTCTGTTATCTTACCCCATGTATTGTGTCCATCCCACAGTCAAAATACAGGAAAGTCTCTCAGGGATGCCCTTTAATAACCACATCCTCCCCACCCACCCCATTGCAACCTTTTTCAGAATGATAGCAGGATCAACAACCCAAACATTGGAGAGGTGACCTATAGCAGGTGTGCTTAAGTTGCAGCTGCTTCCTGAAGGATTCATCATTTACCTGCAGAAGGCCTCTGATAGCCATTCTCAGTTCTTGTGGAGCAAACAGCCTCCTACTTCTGCTCCTGTTTCTGATGCCCTCTCTGTCCACAGTGGCATTCTGTCAGCTCTTGGGAACATCCTGGCTGAGATCATTGGGAAGAAACGAAAAAAAGAAAACTCTCAAAAGCTAACCATCAGTGGGCCTCTCAGATATGCCATTTATGGGTGAGTTTCACAAAGGGGCTCATCAACACACCAGCAGAATAAGTGCAGCAAAGCTGGGATGACACAACTGAGTTCCTGGAACAATCTAATATGGAAAAGTAATTTGCACAAACCACTAAAGTAATCATGTGGGGAACCGGTGTGGTTTTAGCTCATTTATGACTGGGTACACAGGGCTGCCCTAAGTGGGCTGAGGGGCACAAGGGTAGGCGACTCCTGGAGCCTGTCAGACCCAAGGCTCAAAAGCCTGAAAGAGGACAACTCCATGGCCAGCTGATTTCTGCTGTTTTTTTAAGTGTCAAGAAGAGAAAGAAAGGTATCTTGATTTTTTTTTTTTAGATTTATTTATTTGTGCATACAGAACTGGGGTACAGGCCAGAGATTCAGGGGAGGTGAAAGACTTCACCAGAGACAGAGTGGGGAGCAGAACAGGCAGATTGACGAAGTACACTGCTGAGGGGAGCAGCGGGTGGGTCAGGAGAGGTCTGCCACGCCATGTGGGTCACCTCCAGGGCAGGCAGGAATCGAACTCATGTGGAAGTGGTTTCAGCTTCTTAGTGCAGCACCCTAACCCGCTGCGCCACCAGGGAGGGCCGAAAGACAGGTATCTTGAAAAGTGCAGTTTCACAGCCACTTTTTTAATGGCAAAAGCACAAAAATGCAGCAGTTTTACCATAAAGCCCCAGCTCCTGCTCTTGCCAATGCTCTTGGGGGTCTGATGGAAATCTAGCTCTGGGGTGGCCACAGTGGTCTCAGTGGTAGTAGCTTCTTGGGACTACCAGTGAGGCCTTGATATCTGGTGACAAAAGCTGGGGGAAAGTGAGGCGGCTCCTGGAACAGGCTGGGACAAAGTGGGTCGTCACCTAGAACAGACTGTGGGGTTGCAATGCTGCTGAAGAGCACCCATGTCAGGCTGGATAGGGGGGCACTAGGCAGAGAGGCAAGCACTGCAGTAGATGCATGGGGAGGCAGCAGCACTGGGCCTTAGTGTCCTGCTGTGTGATGGGATGGGGGGAGGCCAGGGCAAGGACAGAGCTGTGGGGGAGTAGCTGCGGCACCACCAAATTCACCAAAACCTGACGATGGCATTAAAAATAAATGCAAGGAGGACTGGTGATTACTGGTATAGGGAATACCAAGGAAAAAGGAAGACTTGAAGCCGAGTCTCAAAGCAGCTGTATTTTTTAGCTCTTGTGGTCAGGCCTGGGATTCCAGGAGGTAAGGTGTAGGACCTGGGGTTTGGGGTGCCGCTGAGCTTCTGAGAAGAGCAGTTGCTTACCTGTGGGACCTCAGGTGCTTCTTTACAGGGCCGCTGAGTCACTACTTCTACCTGTTCCTGGAGCACTGGGTCCCACCTGGGGTGCCCTGGGCCACACTCAAGCGTCTGTTGCTGGACCGCCTGCTCTTCGCACCCGCCTTCCTGCTGCTGTTCTTCCTGGTCATGGGCCTCTTGGAGGTTGGTCCCTACTTCTTCTTGACTGCTCCTGGGTGGGGGTCAGGGGCTGCACTTCCCTCTGCACTCCAGTCCAGGTACACCTTTTCCTCTGTGAGTGCTGAGAACAAACCAGGGGTGCTAGCCAAGCAGGTCTCCCCTTTTCCCCAGGCCTCTCTCTGCCACCCAGGATCAGTCAGGAGACTCAGATACCGACATTCAATCTTGCCTTGTCTCCACACATTTGATAGTTGTATGACCACTGCAGAATCTGTTCCTTGCAGTCCTAAATATTTTCCACATCACAAAACATGATTTGGAGAAGGGCCCACCACCTTCACCTATGCCACAGCACTGGATCTCATGACAGAGACCTGTGTATCACAAAACATGATTTGGAGAAGGGCTCACCACCTTCACCTATGCCACAGCACTGGATCTCATGACAGAGACCTGTGTAAGCTCTGGGCCAACCTGTGCATGGTCTGTGGCCATCGTGGTTTGCAATAACCATCTCCCTGGACTCGCATGCAGTAGTGTCCACAGATATACAGATACACTCTCTGTGCCTGCCTGTCCCCATCCGGCTGACTAGCTGCTTGTCCCACCTGGGGAGAAGTGTCCTTTTCCCCCCCGAAAGCCACTAGCAATAGCAGGTGAGTGACAGCTTCCTGGGCTGATGCAGTGGGCAAGACTCACTCCCCTGGGATACTGACAGGCTCCTCCCTGGTGGTGACACACTTGGGAGAGCTTGGCCAGGGTGCAGTTGGAAGGGCACTTCATGGGGCTCCCGTTTTCTTCCACAGAGGGAATATGTTTCCATTAAAGAGCAAAATAAGTGTGGCCCTCCCTGGTTGTGCAGCAGGTTAGGACGCAACACTGTAAACTAGATGTAGCCGCTTCAGTGTGAGTTTGATCCCTGGCCAGGGAGGTGATCCAATGGCGCAGACCTCTTCTGTCTTGCCTGCTGCTCCCCTCAGCAGTGTACTTCGATCTGCCTGTTCTGCTCCCCACTCTGTCTCTGGTGAATCTTCTCACTCTTCCTGCACTTTCATCTCTGGCCTGTACCCCAGTTCTGTATGCATAAATGAATAAATCTTTTTTTAAAAAAGCAGAAAGTGTATGTCAGATGTCCCCATTGCTGGTCAATGGGGTGGCCAAATGACCTGAGGCACTGGGGCTTCACCATGTTCAGGGTTCCAGTACCACCCCTTCTTCATCCCTTTGTAGGTGTTGAAGTTAAGATCAAGTTTAAACATTTAGGGAATATTAAAAATTCAAATTTATGTAAATAAATTTTTATGGTGTCTCTTGCCACACAAGAGTTTAAAATATTCATGTTCTCAAACCTGTCATTCCTTTTTCTTTGTGATCTTCCTTAAAGGGAAATATTGAAAACATCCCCCAGAATTTCTATTACTTTATTTGCTTTGATAAACCCAAGGAAAAAGATATAGTCTCACACTTTTCCTGTGTTAAGATTTTTAATCGTATATATTTGTTTTTTTCTACTTAGAATAACAAATTGTCCTATTACCATTTACAGAGCAACCCCTAGTATCCTGAATTGTCAAAGTCATTATTACCACAGGCAATAATTTTTGCCAACATCACTGTCGGGGCTTTTTGTGTTCATCTTGGAGTCTTCATTTCCATTGTATGTCTTTTTGGGCGGCTGCTACCAGGTTATTTTAATTACCATAATTTTATAGTATTTTTAAAACTGAGAATAAGGTAGGCCTTCTCTCCTTATTGTTTTTGAAGATTGCTATTCTCATGCATTTACTCTGCTAGGTAACATTTAGAATCCATGTATGGGGCCCACAGGAAAAAACGTTTGGATTAGAAACGTCCCCTACTCTGGAGTGCTGGAAAACCCTGAGGACTGAATTGGCAGCCAGTCCCTGCAGATGGGCTAGTCTCCGCAGATGGGTCACTCCCCAGCCCTGCAAGTGTCTTGTCCTGGCCTGTGGTCCATGAGGTGATGCTCTAAGGAGCCCGGTGAGGGCTGTGCTGGCCAACACGCACTCTCCCCACAGGGCAAGGACATGGCTGCCTGCGTGGCCCAGGCACGGATGGGCTTCTGGCCTGCACTGATGATGAACTGGCGAGTGTGGACCCCTGCGCAGTTCATTAACATCAACTATGTGCCTTTGCAGGTGAGGCGCATGGGGTTTCCTGTTCCCTGGTTCGCCCTTCCTGACACCCCTGCTGTTCTGGCCAGGAGGACCTGAGTGCATCAAGGCCTCATGGGGTATCTCTAGGCAGGGGCACAGGAATGATGAACTTCAGGCCCCCAGAGCTGGCAGGACCACAGGGGCAGGTCATGTATCTGTGTGCCCTGGATCCCAGGGTGTCATACTGGATGGGGCCATAAGGCCAACTCCCCTTATTCTCTGCCTGGCCCCCACAGGCACTCCTGCAGCTGGAGTAGGACCGAGGGGTTTCCTCTGGGACTGGGATGTTGGCACGTGGTTGCAGTCTGGCAGGACTCCTTGTGTTGCCCCACGAGGTCCCTGGGAAGCCCAACCCTACCGAGTGGTTGTGGACAACCTCTTCACCAGCACCCAGGGAGCTCCCACTGGTGGGCCCACAGGAGTCCAGCAGAGCCACTGTCTGGACACCAGGCCTTCCCTGAGGGCCGCCTGGAGCTGCCAAGAGGAACTGTGGAGGAGAACTGCTGTAGAACTATGAGAGGCGCCCCCTCCTCGCCCCACCTCGGGTCCCCACCTCGGGTCCCCTAAGGCTGAACAGGCAGCACAGAGAACTGTAGCAGAATAATGACAGGGTTGGGATGGGGGTGGGGGTAGGTAGCTCCATCTCCTTTCAAAATCCCTGACAGGATATTGGGACTTTTTGAATTCAGAAGGCTGTGAATGAGTAGGGTCTAGGCTAGGCTGGAAAAAATCTCTCAAGAGGTTGGCCAGAGGAGCCATGACAGGAGAGAACTGGGGTGCAGAGGCCTGGGAAACTGCTAGAAGCCAGGGTACTTGAGAGGCTGGCTGGTTGCCTGCTGCACTCAGAGGCCTTGGAGGAGAGGAGGCCACTTCCTGGGGTTAGTAGGAGGAGAGAGGATGCCTATGGGGATTTTTTCTTTTTAAAAAATTTATGCATGCATGCATGCAGAAATATGGTACAGGCCAGAGGTGCAGGGGCGGTAAGAGAATTCATCAGAGACAAGAGTGGGGAGCAGAAGAAGCAGATTGACAAAGTACACTGCTGAGGGGAGCAGTGAGGAGACAGAAGAGGTCTGCTGTGCCATGTGAGTCACCTCACTGACTGGGAATGAAACTTATGCTGAAGGGGCTGTGGCAGGCTTCATAGTGCCATGCTTTTAACCCACTGGGCCACCAGGGAGGGCCCCCCACCCCAAGGGGATTTTGAGGGCAGCAGTGGGAGCTAGCAGAGGCCTGTGTGGCCTAAGGCCTGGACAGCCAGAAGGGCAGGAAGCACAGTTCCCTTAAGGACTGCCAGGCTGTGGAAGTGGAAGGGACCAGGGGGATTTTGCCTGAAAGGTAGTTGGTGGTCTGGAAATGGGGGTCTGATGGGGAGGTGGAAGCCTCTGGGACTTTAGGACAAAGTGCCCGGTGGGCAGTGTCCACCCTAGTTGATTGCAGGTGGGGACTTGAGGGGCAGAGGAGTTTGTTCAGCTAATGTTTTTTAAGTACCTTCTGTATGTTCTAGACTCAGGGACAAGATCTAGAGCAGCCCAGCCCTCTGCTTCTGCAGTGCATAGACAAGGGAGGAACTATGTGGCAGCTCGGGTCGGGGTAGAAGCAGGGTAAAGGAACAGTGGCCCTGGGGAGCAGTGATGGGGTGTGGACAGGGATGAGGGTGATGGCTGGCTGGGGCACAGGGCTGAGCCAGGCTTAGAGCCATCGGGGAGGGAGGCTGCAGGAGATTGCCATCTCCTTCCTGGCCTGTGATGCTATCAGTCAGGTCTATCTGTCTTCATTCTGCCCCTTGAGCCAGGTATGCCCCTTGAGTAGGGCAGGTATGTGTGGGCTGGCCTTGAGGACTGGCACCCCCTTGGGGCCTGCCAATACTTTTCTCTTGGCAGTTCCGTGTGCTGTTCGCCAACATGGTAGCCCTGTTCTGGTACACGTACCTGGCCTCTCTGGGGAAGTGAAGCTGGCCTCAAGAGAAGCTGGTACTGCTGGTGGGCCTGGGAGATGCCCACCTGAACAAGACCAGAGACAAGAGCAGCCTGACACTACATCTCCTGGTTCCAGATACCTTAAAGTGGTGGATGGAAAAGAAGCAACCCAACAATAGGGGTCTGTGCTGCCCTAGAAACTGAAAATATACTGAGGTGATTCTGGTGTCCCTAGATTGGACTAGATCACAATAAACTATGATATTACCTCTTCAGGGTGACCTTAATTTCCCAAACAATTGCTGTCACTTTAGAAGAGATGTGGGGCCAGAGAACTGCCCTCAGATTTTAAAATCTTTTTTTTTTTTTAACATTTTTATTTATTTATGCAGAACTGTGGTGCAGGCCAGAGGTGCAGAGGCAGTAAGAAGATTCACCAAAGACAGAGCGGGAGCAGAACAGGCAGACTGAGTACACTGCCGAGGGGAGCAGGGGGCGGGTCAGGAGAGGTCTGCTGCGCCAATCCCACCTCTGGGGTGGGGATCAAACTCACACTGAGGCAGCTGGCAGCTGGCTCACAGTGCTGCACTTTAACCCATTGTGGCACCAGGAAGGATGCAGATTTTAAAATCTTTTAATGGTTACAATACAGCTCAGGATAGCTGCTCAGATATCTGCTCCAGGGCTGCTTTGGGGGGGGGGGCAGGTGACAGATGTGCCCAGCCTTCCAGCTGATGCTTCCCTATCACTCCCCCTTGGCAGAGCCCTTCCTGCCTCAGGGAGACAACAACCCTTGACTGTGTTCTTTCAGCATTTTCTTCTGCCCTGTGTGTCACTTCTACTTTCTCAGAAATTTTTCCCACTTTGACTTTTTTTGCCCCCCCCCAGGGACCCCACCCCTTGTAGTGTCAGCTGACCCTTGGTTGCCTTCATGAGTCAGCCCCAGCATATACAGCAACCAGTGTCTCCCCAGATGCCCTTGCAGGTTGGGCTCTGCTAGGCCCCCATGGCCCTTCCTCTTGTGCCCCTGGCCTCTCTGAAAGGAGGGGTTGTGGGGGCCCATTCTGAGCAGGGAGGGAAGGTGAAAGGACCATCTAGTGCTGTGTGAACCCTATCACCCCCATCTTCATTGTCATCTCCCAGTCTCTGACTTGGGTTCTGTGGGTTCACATCCGCCGTGGTGCACAGGTTATGAGGGAGGATATCCATGGTTACTTACAAGGCAACCATGATTACCACTTTGATCCGCCTGGGGTATCTAGCCCTCCTGGGCAGGGTGGGGCCAGATGGGATGAGTGGCTTTGGTTCAGGCCCCCTGAATGCTGATGACCCCTGATTGGGGTGAGGTGGCTGCTTCACCCTCACCTGTGGCTTAAAGACCCCTTGTTTCCGTTCATTACATAAGCCACAGTGTTGTTGCTCCCTGAGCTCTAGTGGCCTTGCCACTGTGCCCGCGGATGAGACACACAGTGACCGGCCACAGCCTGCCCTCAGACACTCTATCCCCGAAGCCCTGTTCACTTCCCTGTCTCTCAAGTTCCTGGTACAAGCCCAAGGCGAGAAAGAAAGTAGCACACTTCTTCACATGTCTGTCCTCCAAGCTCCCTGAGGGTAACTGCCCTTCGTGGACCCTTTCACGGAATCCCTCCCAGGCCACATACTCCATGTGCTCAGGCCCAAACGCCACCCGGCTGGGGAGCCAGGAAAGACAGAGCGCAGCCACTGCGGCAAGCCGGGCACACCCGCCTCGCGGCCAGAACAATGCCCAGAGGATAGGCCGCTGTTGGTCCCAGTCCGTGAGTTGACCCCACGCGACCTCTGGCGCACGCGCAGCACGGACCCCTTTCCGGAAATTGTCTCAGAGCGGCCTGCAGCCGGAAGCGGGTGCCGCGAGGCTTGTCCCTCGCGGTGCGCCGTCCGACCCTGCGCGCCTGCGCGGCGCGCGAACCCGAGCGGCATGGCGTTCCGGCAGGCGCTGCAGCTGGCGGCCTGCGGCTTGGCTGGGGGCTCGGCCGCCGTGCTCTTTTCGGCCGTGGCGGTGGGCAAGCCCCGCGCGGGTGGAGACGCGGAGCCGCGCGCGACCGAGTCGCCGGCGTGGGCGGGGGCAGTGCGCCCGGGACCCAGCGTCTGGGACCCCAACTGGGACAGGTGCGCGCGGGCGGGCGGTTCTCTCTTGGGCCACCCTGGAGGCTGGCGTGACGTGCGTGGGGCGTTCCGGGCCCTCAGCCCCAGTGCTCCCCTTGCACCCCAGCTCCCCGACTTCCCACACGCCCCACTCCCCTCTCCCCCTGCCAGTTTCCTGTCCCTGGGAGCTGACGGCTGGATGAGGAGGGGACGGGTAGCCTCTGCAGTAGGGCTCTTGGGTGGGCTCCTCACTTCCAGCCACATATCATGACACAACACTTGAAACAGTTTTTACTCTTGTTTAACGTTAATTGAATTGAAAATCAAAGTGCACACATAATTTTTTATCTGTTGAAACAGTTTTTTTGATACACTGGGCCAGATAGTTAACTGGAATTTCAACCTTTTTCTATCTAAATGTGGCTAATTTGAAATTGCAAATTACTGGTCGCTATTGGACAGTTTAGACTGTGTCTAGTCGGGCAGTGGCCTTTGGTCCACCCCACTCCCTTAAAATAAGCTGACTTGTTTCTATCAGATTCCCAAGAAGCTCTCAGCTATACTCGGTGCCTGTTTGTTGTCTTCATTGTTAGCCTCTTCTGTGGTACTTGGGGCTGGGGAGCATGTGGGCAGCAGGAGGGGAGCTGGGGGCGCACGCTGGGATGGGGGGTGGCCTTGGGGATGCAGGGGAAGCTGCTGTCTTCGTGCTGCTCTGTGTCAGAGCCCAGCTTTGGATTGATGGCCTCCCTGTAGAGAGGCCCCTGTGTTCTCCATTCTTCTGTTCAGGCCTGCTTGACCTTGACAGTTTCTTAGAGTTGTTTGATGACCTTGATCATTTTGAGTGGTGCTGTCAGGAATGTTTTTGTCAGATTAGACTGAGGTGTTACCTTTTTAAAAACTTCCGTATGGTTGTCTGAATTTCTTGGGCCTTTTTAAGAAAATACACACCAGTTAATGGGCTTGCTCGAGGGAGAACAGACACATTCTGTGTCTGTTCCCCAGCCTACCTTTGTGGGGGGTGCTGTCTGGGCTGGGCAGCCTCCCCAGGCCATCTTTCTTTGTGTATCACTCTGGAGTCAGCCTGGTTGATCAGGGCACCCAGGTTTGCAACTGGAGGGACCCTCAGTCACCAGTGTGTCCCTTAGAACCCAGAGTAGGATTCTGCTGGCATCCAGACATTTCCCTCCACTCTGTGTGTCCAGCACTGACTGTTCACATAAGATGCAGCTGTTTCTCTGCCTCTTTGCTGTACCCTCCTCCACAGACACCTCCAGCCTTCCATGGTGCCCCTACAGGTATGGTGCTAGGAGTTGCTAGCTCTGCAGGTTGGCCTATGTGCTGGTACCTCTGAGGACATGGTTTTTCATCTCCCTTGAGGTGACTTCTTCAGAGTCTCAGCATCGCACACTGGTGGTATCTTTTAGACACACAACTCTGGCCACCTCCCTCACCCCCCTTCCTCCATTGCCAGTCCCTTTCTCCCTGCCACTGGCTCTGTGCTGCTGTTGCTGGCCCTTCCTCAGAGGACTTGAGTACAGGAGGGCTGATCCAATCTCTTTTGTTCCCATATGCCCCTGGGGCAGCCCTGGCTCAGCAATGAGCAGGAAAGGTTTGTGCAGAGGTCTGGCTTCTCAGGCTGGTGTGGAGGCAGCATGGGGTTTAGCTCCCCTCCCCCATGATTCCCCAGCCCTGAAGACCATCTAAGCAAAACCCCTGAGGTCCTCATGGGGACCTGGAGCAGTCTGTCCTGTCCTTCAACACTAGGCGAGAGCCCCTGTCGCTGGTTAACTTGAGAAAGCGGAACCTGGAGTCTGGAGAAGAGGAACTGGCCTCCAGGCTGGACCACTGCAAAGCTAAGGCCACTAGGCACATCTTCCTCATCAGGCACTCACAGTACCATGTGGATGCCAGCCTGGAGAAGGACCGCACTCTGACAGCCCTGGGTATGTGGCTGCCACACAGGCCCCGGGCCTCCCACCCCCACCTCACAGGAGCCCCGTGCCCTGCCTTCCTCGGGGACACAGCCCTGACTTGGACATGGTCTTGGTCAGCGTCTCCTCTCTCCAGCCAGGCACTTGCTGGTGGGCCTCAATGACCCTCAGTCTTGGACTAAGGCAGGAACCTGCTCTGCTGGCCCTTCACCTGGACTCCAGCAGCCCCACTGCCCCCTGCCCCAGGGACCTTGGTGAGGGCCATAGATATGGATCTGGTGTTCTCCACCCTCCAGGTCGAGAGCAGGCTGAACTGACTGGTCTCCGGCTAGCGAGTTTGGGACTGAAGTTCAATAAGATTGTGCATTCCTCCATGACCCGCGCTGTGGAGACCACTGACATTATCAGCAAGCATCTGCCAGGTGGGGGCAGCCTGTGGGGAGGAGCAGGTTGGGGTTGCCCATGGGGTGGAGTGGGACCCATGGCTGAGAGGCTGCTCCTCCAGGTGTCTGCCGAGTCAGCACCGACCTGCTGCGGGAAGGCGCCCCCATTGAGCCTGACCCACCTGTGTCTCACTGGAAGCCGGAGGCTGTGGTAAGGCCCCTGTCCCCTGCCCTGAGTGCCTGTTAAAAGTGGCACTGCTCAGGCTTACTGTTGTGCCTCCCCAGCAGTATTATGAAGATGGAGCCCGGATCGAGGCTGCCTTCCGCAACTACATCCACAGGGCAGACGCCAAGCAGCAAGAGGACAGCTATGAGATCTTCATCTGCCACGCCAATGTCATCCGCTACATCGTGTGCCGGTGAGCTCCATGCCCCAGGGCCCGAACCCCTCCCCAAGTCGAACAGCTGTCCCAGTGAGTCCTTCCCTCTCTTTCCAGAGCGCTGCAGTTTCCACCAGAAGGCTGGCTCCGCCTCTCGCTCAACAATGGCAGCATCACCCACCTGGTGGTCCGGCCTGATGGGCGTGTGGCACTCAGGGCCCTTGGGGACACAGGCTTCATGCCTCCTGACAAAATCTCCCGCTCCTGAGGGCACTGGACCCACCCTCACCCTACCTCCGTTCCCCCTGCTCAGCAGCCACATTCCCTTCTCCCCATGGACACCCTGGCAGCACCCAGGACCCAGGAGGACTGGCTTCTGAGCCAGAGGCTGGTGCTCTGTCCAGGCTATCTTCCTGCCCTCATCAACCAGGATTGCCTGTGGGGCGCAGGGAGGCCCTGTGGGACTGGACAAGTCTGAGAGACAGATGCCCAGTACCGGCCTGTGGCTCTCCAGATGTGGTCCTGCATTTCTAGTGGCGCCAGGGCTCCCGAGCAGCCCATCCCCCTGGAACTGATTCTGCTTCAAGACAGTCTTCACTGACACCCTTTGTCACCTAGACAAAGGTTGTCCTCATCTGGATTCTTGCTTTGATGGCCAGTTTTTCACTCCATTTAGGGGCCATGTCATGGCTGGGTGTTTGTGGGTCCCAGGTATACCTGCATAGGTTAGGGAGGTGACCTGGCCAGGGCCACTGCACAAAACACTTATCCAACAACTCAGTCTGAGTTTGCTTTCATGCTTGTGACTAAACAGCAGACGGCACGTGTCCATCCCAAATCTTATGTTAATTTAGGAAAAAACCATGTAATTTCTATGAAGTATATGGACATTTTCTGTAGTCAGTACAGTAACAGATGTGTGGTCCATTTTCTGTGTCAACTTTGGAAGTAACCATAAAATAAAATTTTATTTTACTGGTTCACAGTTTCAAGCTGTTAATGTCTGAAGGAAACAAGCTGTGGGTGTGGCTGGCAGCTGGGCCCTGCCCCACAGCATCAGATCTCAGAAACATTGACAAGTGAGCCAGGACCTCTGCCAACTCCCAGGGCTGCAGTGACTGGCAGCCTTGGCTCTGGGCTGCTGAGGTCTGATGGTGCAGATAGCTCCCTCATGGCTGCCTACTGCCAGCCCCATCTATCCCATGTGCTGGACCCCAAGCAGTAGGCAGTGCCTATACTGGGGCAAGGTGGCCAGAGGGCAGGAGGCCCTCTGACGGGTGGGAGAAAGACCTCTTGAGAGGTCAGTGAAGATAAGACTTGACCCAAAGAGCTGCACAACAGGGACTGCAGCACCACCTGGCAGCTTGTACCTGCTGTAGTGTTCAATGGTGTGTATTTTTTTTAAGGATCTATTTAGTAAAAGAGTTGTGTAGGCCAGAGGTGTGGGAGTAAGAATATTCACCAGAGACAGACTGGGAAGCAAAACAGGTGGATTGACCAAATTTCACTGCTGAAGGGAGCACTAGGGAGATAGGAGAGGCCTGCTGTGCCACGTGGGTCAGCTCCCTGACCAGGGATTGAACTCAGGCTTTAGTGGTGACAACCTGAGACTAACCCCCAGGTCACCAGGGAGGCCCCACTGACGTATTTTCTTCTGGGACAGGCCAGAAAGAAGCTTGCACAGATATGATATACAAGCTAAATGCAAAGTGCTGATGAGACAAAAAGTGCATGCCTGGGTGCACCAGTGGGCAGATGGCTGGGAAGACAAAACATGGCAGTTGACCCCCAGCAAGAAGCCACTCCTAGGCTGTCACAGCCTCTGGGAGCTGTAGTTTCTGGAACACCCAAAAATCATTCAAGAGGATCCTCCTTGTTGCTGCCAGCCAGTGGCTGCCCCTTCTGGACCCCGTGGTTTCTGAGCCAGCAGGAAGGAAGGGGTTGAGCCTGCAGGCCTGTGGGCCCGTCCCAGCATCCTAACTGTGAAAAGCCCTGGCTCAGGGAAAAGGGGTCTTCCAAAAGCTTACAATTACTACCATATAGTTTTAGAAATAATTTATTTTGTAAGTGTTTTTAAAAAGAACATAAAAACTGCCAAAGGAGCAACGGAGCACTTGCTGGGAGCTGGCCCCACCTGGGGCCACGGGCAGGCCACGGGCGTAATACCTACCCGGCGTCCCATGAGGACAGACAGAACCTGTGTGGCTGGGGGCTTGTGAGGAGCCAGTGCTGCTCTTGGACTGTCGGCTCAACGAGTGCAAGCACTGTGAGCTACCTGCTACTGGACCCAGCTCGGCCCCTAAGACTGCGGACCAGTCTCCTGTTACCAGGTGAAAGCAGTAAGACTTTTTATACAAGTTTCAATTCAGAATTTTTACAAAGAAAAACTCCTACCTAATTAGTATCACTGCATATTCTCAAAAAGGTCAGGAGTAAAGTGATGTACATACAAAAGGCACTGAGGTTCCTAGGGAAGCTCACCCCGGCTGCACTCACGGTGGTGCTGGGGCCGCTGTGGGGCTGTCCTGGGTGGCAGAGCCAGACACAAGCTGCCTGAAGCAGTGCCCTTTACTAAGGAGACATACAAGGACTGGAATGGCATAAATTCCAGTCAGGAGTCTGGTGGGCAACTCTCCCAGGGCATAGGGAGGGTGAGTGGTTGTGTGGCTGCCTGCAGGACAAGTATCCCCAGAAAAGCTGCATCCGTGGGCACCAGTCTAAGCATGTTTGATGGCCTGACTTATGTCTTTGTGAGTCAAAAAGTCAAGGATCATTTATTCCTGGGCTTAAGCAACTGATTGGGTGGCAAAGCAAAGGGCTCTCCCGTTAGGAGCCAGAGCAACAGTGGCTTTCCCCAGAAACAGCCCTCCTGGCCAGATGGGGATGCCAGCAGCTGGGCACCCTGTGCACTCCGCACTGGCCAGACTAGCTGTTCCCAGAAGTCACGTATCCAAACGTGCCCACATCAACTTCTCCCCAAAAGCAGAACCTCGATCTTATACAGAACACATGCGCAGCCTACAATACTTCCATCCTCAACGTGAGGATTAATAAATTAAGCAGAATGTATTCTTTTGTGAAGTTTTAGTACTAAATCTGTTACCCTTCTTTCTGGGAAGAGGGAGCTGGGTGCCTACAAACCAGCAGGCTGGGCCAGAAGCACCATCCTGCGGAGGTGGCCCCCACAAGCTGGGCTGTAGCGTCTGGGGCTGCCCAGGCCAGGGGAGTGAGGGCCTGCGCCGGGCCTTCCTGGGCTGCCCCTGGAGGACATGCCCCTCACAGGGCTGCAGCTGCGAGGGTGAGCAGGATCCACCAGCTGAGACTTCAGCCTTCCTTGTAGGGCAGGGCTTGGCCAGCTGAGAAGAAGGGGAAACGTCAGCAGGATGTCAGGGCTGAGGTCAGACAACTGCACCCCAGCATGCCTGAAACTGTGGGCCATGGGGTGCTGTCCACCTGCCTTCCCAGCCCCAGCCTGCCTGCATGCACTCTTCCTTGGTAGCAGTGGCGATCACCCACCACCCTTGAAGGGACCTGCACCTAGACCTAGCGGTACCTCTGTCTGTCGGAGGGTGAGAAGCCCAGAACAGCACTCCTCCACCTGTGCACAGCGGGGTACTGGCCGGGGTCCACGTCCACGCGTTCCAGAGCTGCCAGGACATCCCTGTCTAGTTTGGACGGCTCCTCCCTAGAAGACAAGGAGTGAGCTCACGCCAGGGGTTGAAACCAGACTCCCACCAAGCCCTCTCACTAGGAGCCGCTCAGGATGGGCGGTGCACACCAATCAGGGCCTCTGCCACCTTGGGTCCATGCCAGGCTGTGAGGATAAGGCCACTTGCTGCCCTGAAAGCATGTGCTTTGTACCCAGGGGATGGTGACAGACACCACCGTTGGTATGTGTTCACACAAACTCACTCCAAGGACAGCTTGCCCCCGCTGGGGTAGTGGCCTACGGGGAGAGTGCCCCAAGGAGGAGAGGATGAGACCCACTGGCTTGGGTGGGGAGGACTCACCAGAACCTGCGCTCACCTCCCAGTCTGGGCCCCCTTATTCACTCTTCTTACTTACCCTAAAAGGAAGCGCCTCCAGACGAGCCCCCCCAGCGGTGGTGAAGAAGTGGCTGCCACTTCGCTCTCTGTTTCCCCTTGGGTTTGGAGCATGTCTGCTGCCAACAAGTCACTTTCTGCTGTGTCTCTTCCTGACTCCAGGGCATCATCTCCAGCTTCTGCATTTCTACTCCATGTCCTAGGAAAGCTGCTTCCTATGTTCCGCAAATTCAATTTATCAAACTCAGCAGCCAAACTAGAGATGAGTGGCGGGGGTGCCCCCTCTGCACCAGGGACCTGGCTGCTGCTGGTGGGGTGATGGGGGCGGTCTCCACTGCTCTGGGAGCTGGTGCTGGCAGCTTTGGGGCTGGTCTTCGGCCCCAGGGGCCAGCTGTGGCCACCCAGGTCCCCAGAGGCACCTATAGAGGGCTGGGCAGGGCCATGCACTGCATCCTGCTGGCTGGTGACCTCCCCTGAGTTTGCGTCGTCCTCCTCGTCGAGAAAGGCCCTCACGGAGATGGAGCCACTACTCCTCCCAGGCCAGGCTGGGGGGAGAGAGCAGCTTTTCAGTGTGCGCGCCCAGCAACCCAGCCCCACCCAGAGGCCCTGGGAGGTAAGGACACCCCCAAGGAAACCCAGCCTGTACCCAACTCTCCTCCCCCTGAGGTCAAGGGCAGGGAGAGTCCTCATGGGTGCCATGCTCTCACCAAAAGTGGGAGTTTCCTCCCAGGCACAGAGCTCATCTCCTGGTTCATACTGGGTGTTCCTGCCTGCATCCTGCTGAGCAAGGTGCTCCTCCAGCTTCTGCAGGCCCTCCGGGGAGGAGAGGTCCACGAAACAGCCCAGAAAGTCCCAATACTCAGCCCAGGGGTACTGTAGCTCATGAGCCAGCTCTCTGTGGGGACAGCCCAGCATCAGTAAGCAGAGAGGCCCAGAGGCACAGGGCAGGGCAGACTGGGAGTCCATGGAACTGCTTCAGGATGAGCTGGTCACGGAAGGGAAGGAAACCTGACCCATCACCCTCTAGGGATGCTAGAAGTCAGAGGTCACAGGTGAGCCAGTGAGAGGCCATACAGATGCCTCTCCAGTCATCCCACCAGTCATGTGAAGCTGGGGGACATCAGTCTGGTCACACATGTGAATGTGCTTAAGTGTCCTTCAGTTCTTGGTTATAAGCCTAAAACGGCACAGATTTTGAGAAGCTTGAGCCCCACACTGGAATTTCACATGACCACCTGGTGCACTGGCAACTGCAGTAAAGAAACACTCAAGGTGCTACTTGTTAACTGGTCAGCAGCCACATCACCTCAAGCGCTTGTCCTTTACTGCTGAGGAGATGCTGCGTGGGCCCCAGCCCTTCCCCCGACAACCCACCCATGCCCTGGAGTACCTGCCCACTCGCTCGGCACCTCTCTCAGGGTCTGACTTTCTGACGCTGTGGAAGAATCCGGCTTTTTCTCGAGGTGGAGTCTTCCAGAGCCTGCGGAAGTCTTCTGCCTGCGAGGAGAGCTCAGCTGAGCTGTGCGCGGCACCCAGCAGCAGTGCCAGGGAGCCTGAAACCTGCGAGGCCTACAGAGTGGGGGTGCTGGGCCCTTCACGTGTTCAGTTGCCAGGGCTATGCCGTCACCCATGTCGGCCCAACATCTGCAGGAGTCTGAGCAGGTGGGAGCTGGTAATTGGCCTGGTCCAGACCCTCGTTCCTCCCGCAGATGCTGATAATGCCCTCAGCGCCCAGCACTGGGGCTCCTGGAACCCTGGCCTTGACGGCCAAGCACAAAGCTGGGTCTGGACACCCAGAACTTCTGAGCAGGCTCCAGAAGCTTACACCACTCACCTTGGAGGGACTCAGGGGCCCCACGAAGGCTCTCAGGGTCAGCACAGGGTCTCTGGGGCCACCTCCCCAGGGTCGGCTATGAGAGGCCTGGGCTGTCTGGTCCGAGGACCACAGCTCTCCGATCACAGGGGAGGACATGTCCTCCGCCCTCAGCAGCGGCACGTAGTAATGGCCTGAGAACACACACACACTGAGCACTGCTCCAGGGCCCCTTAGGCATCAGACACAAGAAGGGGCCCTGCCCCTGGCAGGGAGAGGGAGCAAGCAGCCAGGGGCTCCATGCAGGCTCTGGGAAAGGGGGAAGGAAGGGTTCAGCTGAGCGCGGCATGGACAGTGCTGGGATCTGGAGGAAACCAGGTGGGCTGAGGGGCCTGGTGGGGGCAGTGGGAAGAACCCATGCAATGGACTTGAAGTAGAGCCTAAGAGGGCCGGGCTAGAGGTGGAAATCTGGGTATAGTGGGCAAAGGGCTTCCAGGCCCCTGCTGCTTGTTCTGACAGCAAGAAGGCACCTTCTTGGCTCACTGGTGAGAGCAGACAATGGCGGTGCCTGGGTAAAGCCTCCACATCCTGGACAGGTTTGCTCTGAGATCTGGGCCAGGTCAATGGGCCCCGAGAGCCCAGGCAAAGGGACTGCCTGGCAGGCAAAGCTATGGCCAGTTCAGTGCCCTGCCCAGTGGGCCTGACTGTAGGGGTGGGGGGGAGGGGCGTGCAGCTTGGCCAAGGTGGGGCAGGGCAGCAGGGAGGTGGCCCTGAAGCCTAGGCAAAGAGAGGAAACCCAGAGGTAACTCCCAACAGAACAAACCCCTGTGGCCAGGGGCTCAGACTAGCTGGTTCTGCTCACATCTCAGCCCAAGGAGAGGGGTCCTGTGGGTTTCAGAGACCCTGGCCCACCAGAACAGTAATAGGCACAACATGGTGCTGTGGGAGGGCCCTGGCCACAGGGCAGGAGCTCTGTAAGGACAGAGGAGGCCCAGGGGCAGGAGTAACCGTGGGGCTGGAGGGATCGGCACTAGGGCCCATCCACGCCAGCCCACACATATCTTACCCTTTAAATATTCTCTAATTCGCTCCTTCAGCTCCACAGATTTACTTTTGCTTCTTTCACAAATAACCTATTTCAAAAACACAACGTATGAACACTCAGACTCTTATCATGTTTTTGCGCCACTAAAACCTGATAAATTCAACAAGGGTAGTATCTTGATGCTGATATTCCCTAAGACCTATGACTGGACACTGTCTGGACAACACACTTCTACTGGAATGTTCTGTGAAACTTAAGGAGCCAGGGACAGAAGGCAGCTCCAACGTTACTGGAGAACCATACCCCCCACGCTGCCTGCAACTCCAGAGCAGGCCTCTGTGGGCTGCAGGGCAGGGACACGGGGCCTGCTCTGGTCTCGAGCCTGGTGGGCATAAAAGGAGACCCTGACCCAGCAGGGGTCAGTGCCTGATTTTTGCAACTGTAGGAACCACTTCTCAGTCATTGGAGAACTGCAGTGATGTTCCCACAAGAGATGGTAAGCAGCCAGTAGGAAGGAAGAGGCAGAGAATCACCATCTCACCAAGATTATAAAGTAAAATTCTCTTTTAAGCGACATCACTGAGATGTCCACCATGGATCCCAAACTGCACTTCATGCTGAATACTCGATGGGGGAGCCAGACCTGGCAGCAGAGGCTCCACCTAAGGTGGTGGGGCGGGGGGCGGGGTGTGAGTCCTGAGGCCCCAGCATGAGGCGGGGAAGGACCCCCTCTAACCCTGGCCCATAGGACACCTACATGTTCAAGCTACATGGGCTGCAGCATGTGCTGCTCAGGGGGGCTCAGGCTCCTGCTGTGTAGTGGCCCCACAGCTCAGGCACAGCCTGGCCAGCCCCACATGTGCCCACCAGGGCCAGGTGACTCAGAGGGAACCTGCTGAGACTCCAAACCCTGCTTCAGGCCTGACAGTAGAGCAGCAGCGCCAGGTGGGTACTCACGTCTTCAGGGGTTTTATGGTATTTGTTCCTTGGGTTTTTCACAATTAAAGGGTGTGAAGAGAGCACGTTGACAACATCTGCATGCCCAAATTTACAAGCAAAATGAAGCGGCGTGTCGTAGGCCTGCGGAGGTGAGGAGACAGCTGCTTATCACACTTCGTTTCCCAGGGGCACTCTAAGGTAGAGACATGTATTAGTAAAATAATCAAAAACTAAAGACCATGAAGGAAACCATTTCTGTAAATGACGTGCCAGCAGCAGCTTCCCTTTAGCCAGTTCCAGAACTGTGTCTGCTGCCTCTGTCCAATTGGGGGGGGGTCCCCATAGCCATGCCGGGTGGACCTGGCTCCCAGCACTGGGTAGCAGCCTCAATCCTCCAGGTGGGCAGTGGCCAAGAGCACCCATTTCTTCTCACAGCTGCCCGCAGGGGCGCTGCAGTGAAGGCATCTGGCCACATCCAGCTCCCTCAGGAGGGGTCTGCTGCCCAACTCCCTGGTGCTGCCCCTTCACCTGCCACCTGCAGACTACCAGGCCTGCTGGAAACTGCTGTGTGGCAGCACCACAGGTCAGGCACAGCCTGTCCAGTCCCACATGCCTACCAGGGACAGACCCACCCAGCCCTGAGGACCATAGGGACAGTAGGCAGCCCTCTGTTCCTGACAGGCTGTCCTGTTCCCTTTGCTACTCTCTTGAAGGGCCTGGCTGCCACACACCCATGCCAGCTCAGCCCACCTGCAACAATGCATGGGCCAAGAAAGCAAATACCCTCAAGTCAGTGTGTCTCACCCATACCCTCAGGACGATTTGGCGAAAGGCTGACCTCATCAGGTGCACAGGAGTTCCATGGGCTCTGACCTTCCCATCCTCTCCTCTGCTGCAAGCCAAGTGCCAGGACCAGGGTGGCCGTGTGCCAGTAAAGACCCGCCCACACCACTGTGCCATCTCCAACAGGGCCCCGGGTGTCCTGCCTGCAGTGACAGGCCACTCCCTTAAGCTCCATAAACCTGACCCCAGGCCTGCCCTCACTCCCACAGAGCAGTGCCGAGTCCCTAACATTTCTGGCTGACCCGGCCCCACATCTCCAGTGTATGCACTTGTGCCCACACCACTTGGCAGCTCTCACCAGGGATGAAGAAGCACTAGGGCAGGTCAGGGCACAGCTCGACGCAGCTCCTGCAGCCACAGCGTACTGGATGCTGCCACAGCTGCGAGCTAGAGTGTGGGCGTTACACTGCCATATCCCCTCATGTAGCTGCAGGACTCTTCTGTTCAGAATCCTCACTAAGTCCTACGTACTGTTAAAATCAACCTACGTACTGTTAACCCCATGTGAGTGGTTCCTAGTATGCTGCTCAGTGGGAAAAAACATATGCATAGAATACTGGAGGGTGCCAGAGCATTCTGATGTCCCTTCACCCTGGGCACCCAGCCCCAGCCCAGCTCAGTCCTCCTAATGGCCAGGAGGGCAGGTGCGTAGAGCAGGGAGTGACCAGGACAGGGACGCAGCTAACATCACAGCACAGAAGTACAAGCCTCACTTTGAGGGAGACCAGGAACCTGCTTGCTAGGACACATACCGCCTTGTCAGGAGTATTCAGGTACAGGTCAACAATGTAGCAGATGCGCTTCTGCAGCATGTGGGGGTCATCATCTGGGTACATGAGCCGCATGAATTCGGGGTCTTCCAGGGTGTCCAGGGTCAGCTGGCAGATGGAGGCATGGCCCTCCTTGGCAGCCACATGAAGGACATTGTACCTGCACCCCTCCTAAAGGAAGCGGCAGACTCTCAGCTCCTGCTGGGTGCTGCCCAGCCCCGTGTGTGCAGGCAGGCTCACCTGCACAACAGTTGGGTTATCCCCTGAACCAATCAGATACCGCGGGTTGCTCCAGACAAGGTCAGAAAAGGCCTTGCCCTCTCCCTGCTCCACTGCTCTGCGGAGCTTGGCAGTAAGGTCCTGCGTGCGGGGGTTTCTGTAGCTGTTCGCTCGCTCCTTGTTTGCAGCTTCTGGCTCAGATGCACACAGACCATCTGAGAGACAGAATTTAGGGTTGTTGACTACACAGCGCTGGACCCACCCACAAGGGGCCACTCCAGGACAGAAAGCCTCTCCTGAGGCTACATCCAGCTGGAACACATAGCCCCTGACCCAGCCACTCCGGGGTTGGCACCTGCTGTGCTGTGTGAGAAGTGGCAGCAGCAGCAGCAGCAGAGCCCAGAGCCCGGAGAGATCTATCGAGGGCAGCACAAGGGGCCAGGTCTTGGGGGACAGGACAGACCATGGGCAGGGAGTCCAACAAGACCCATAGGGCCCCTGCCAGTGCCCCCTGCCTTGTGCTTTAGTGAGCCAGTTTCAGTGAGGTTTCAGACTGTGAAGATGGAGATCTCTGACTGACATCATTATGATTCTATCTAGAAGACCTAAGGCTGAGTCAGGGATAGCAGCTAGGGGCAGGTGGGATTCTCCATTGGAAGGAGGGGTTCTTCCCCTGGAAGCCCAGCAGCCTAGGGAGTGGGAACATCAAGAGCTCTGTGGGATTAAATGAGGCCAAAGTCATAAGTCAGGTTTTTGCTCCATGTTAACCCTGAACCTAACAGGTAGTAGATGGAGGAGGAAGCAGTGCAGAGGGGCTGCTGACCTGACCCTGGCACACCTTCGCCGGCTCCAGGGCCTGCAAGTTGCTTCCTGGCCCATCAGCCCCCAGCACTCTACTCACTGGTAAACTGGAGAAAGCTGGGTGAAGAAAGAGGCCACAGAGTGCCTGTAGGTAAGTTTAATACACACATCCATACATGAACTGCTGTGCAACTTACCTTTTAAACTGCCATTGGTAGAGAGTGGTGCTGTCCTCACAGGAGACACTGGCACAGAGGTTTTGTTTGGAGAAGGGAAATAATCAAAAATTCCCCTGGCAAATTTCTCGGCATCTTCTCTACTTGAGTAAGCTTTAAATCGGGACCCTTTCATCATTTTAACAGCTTGCAGTGCCTCCTTTTTGTCTTCATAAACATGAATCCTTTCTGCATGAGAAAAGGAAGGAAGGAAAATTAAAAGCATGTAGCTGGGCCAGTTCATTTCCACCCAGAGGCCCGAGGTTTGACAAGATACTTCAGCTCTCCAGGCCTGACTGCTCTTCTGATGGTAATGCTTCAGAGGTTTACTCTTGAAGAAAAACACCTTAGCCAGACAAAAGGACATAGATGCTTCCTATATATGTGTGTGGGTATAAAATGACACATTTTACATGTGATTTAATCTCCAAGGGACACAATACACACTAAAAGCCAAAATTCACTAAGTAATAATAGTAGCAAAAAGGCAAGTTAAAAAAAAAAAACAAAACCCTGACAATAGCAAATAATGCCAGAGAATTTTAAACATGATTTGAGTTGGGAATGCCTTTCTAAACAAACCAAGAAACCGAGAATAGGATGGCAGTCCTACTGCTGGTGGGAATCAAATTGTTCCCATCACTATGGAAAGCTGCTTGAAGGTTTCTCAAAAAAAAAAAAAAAAAAAAGAGCTTTCATATGATCCAGCAATTCCACTTTTAGGTATCTTCCCAAAGGACATAAAAACATTAACTCAAAAGAACATCTGCACCTCTATGTTTACAACAGGAAGATGTGGAATCAATCCAAATGCCCAAAACAGATGACTGATAATGAAGATGTTGTACATATACACAGTGGAATATGACTCAGCAATTAAAAGAGATAAAGTCAGGCTATTTGAGGCAACATGGATGGAACTGGAAGAGATCATGCTCAGTGAAATAAGCCAGAAAGAAAAAGGAAAATACTGGGTGGCTTCACTCATAGCAGAAGTAAGGGGATCAGGGGAAAAAAAAAAAGGCAATTGTAATAAAGTAAAACAAAAGTCAACAAACAATTATAAACCACAGACATTCTATGAGGATAGAGAAGGGACTAGGATCAAAACTGGGGCAGGAAGAGCACACAGGACTATGATGATGGCATGTGGGTGAAGTGGTGGTGGGAAGTCCGTGGGGATTACAACTGGGGTGAAAAAATGTACAAAATGAAGAAAGAGGACCTTTCCTGATGGCACGAGTTAAAGCACAGCACAACAAAGCTAGCCACGGCCGATTTTGATACCCAGCATGGGTGGTGACCCACATGGCGAGGCAGACCTCTCCTGTCTTACCCGCTGCTCCCCTCAGCAGTGTACTTTGTTGATGTGCCTGTTCTATCTCTGGTGAATCCTCTCACTACCCCTGCACCTCTGGCTTGTATCCCAGGTCTGTATGTATAAATAAATTAAAATAAAAAAGAGTGATGTAAAATATACATATAAAATAAAAAAAAACCTTAATCTAAAAACAAAAACTGTAAAATCACTAAAAAATAAAATAAAATGATTAGATAAGAGAATAGTTAATGATAAAGAACAAAGACATATTGTTTAAATCAATGAATTAGAGTGAATGACCAAAAAGAAAATTAAAAAACTATAACAGTCCTGGGCCCTGCCTGGTGGCACAGCGGGTTAAAGCATAGCACAATGAAGCTAAAGCCACTTCCACATGAGTTCGATCCCCGCCAGCCCCGGGAGGTGACCCACGTGACGAGGCAGACCTCTCCTGACCGGCCAGCTACTCCCCTCAGCATTGCACTTCTCAGTCAGCCTATTCTGAGCCACACTCTGTCTCTGGTGAATCCTCTCACCCCCCACACACCCTTGGCCTGTGCCCCATTTCTTGTATGCATGAATAAATAAATCTTTAAAAAAGTTCTACAGGAAGTTCTGATTCACCACTGAGTTCTGATTCAGCTCTTACACACACAATACTCAAATGATGGGAAGTTTTTAACAGAAGACTGTGTCCACAGCCCAATAAAAATGGTCAACAGGTACGGCCAAGGGTTCAGTGAGAGACTGTGTGAAGAAGGCACTGGCTGAGACAAGGCAGAGGCTCCTGCCCTCAGCAGCTCAGTGACAGGTGTGGCTACAGGGCAAGAACGGCTCCCGTGAGAGACTGGAAAGTTCTCTCCTGCACAGTGGACGGTAATGTGTTTGGAGGGCAAGTTCTGAGCCCTCACATGTTCTGGAGGGAATGTAAGCAGATATGGCCACTACTGAAGCAAGTGTGAAGGGTCCTTCAAAAACAGAAATACTGTGCAACCTATGTTTAGATATGCACTCAAAGAACAGGAAAGCTCTAATCTGAAAAGAAATACATACCCCAGCCCACTGCAGCACTATTTTCCAGTAGCCAAGTTATGGAAACAGCCTAAGTGCCCAAGGACAAGCAGGTGGATAAAGAAGATGTGGTCAGCACACACAATGGAGTATGACTCAGCTAGAAGAAAGATGAGCTCTTGTTATTTGCAACAACATGGTTGGAATGGAGGGTATGATGCTGAGTGAGGTGAGAAGGAGAAAGACAAATTCTAGACTACTTTACTGATGTGAAACACAGAAAGGAACAAACAGAATTAAACCAAAACCAGCTCTAGAAATCTGACTGCAGAACTGAGGTATTAGAGGGGAGGGTGAGAGAAGGATTATTGGTGTTTTGGTGGTGGGTGAGGTCTGAGCACATACAGATATCTGAAGAGGTGTGAACCTGTTACCCTAAGATACAGACTGTGTTATAAACCAACATTATATCTCAAATAATAATAAAAAAAAGCTTACCTTAGACCTGACATTTTTTTATTATTATTAAAGATTTTTTATTAATGCATACAGAATTGGGATACAGGCCAGAGGTGCACAGGTGGTGAGAGTAACTCCCCCCTGAGATGAGTACACTGCTGAGGGGACCAGTGGGTGAGGCAGGAGAGGTCTGCTGTGCCAAGTGGGTCACCTCCCTCACTTGTGTTGAAGTGGCTGTGGCTAGCTTTTTAGTGCTGAGCTTTAATCTGTTGTGCCACCAGGGAGGGCTATAAAATTGCAATTCTTGATTTTGAAAATGATTTCCACTTTCATCAGCCACTGGCATTAATACAAAAGGTGCTGTGATATACTGAATTGAAAAGAGATGATTAACTGACAAAGGCAGCCAGCCAATAAATATCTGAAAGTGGAGTAAACCTTATAGAATCCAATTTTCTAAAAAAAAAAAAAAAAAATTAAAATTCACATACAGATTTATAAAAAATTCAGGAAGTTCTTACAAAATGCTGACAGTGGTTAACGTGGGGTGAGGAGATTATGGTGATAAACCCTGTCTTCTCCTCTGTACTTTGTGATTTTCAGACTTGCCTCTCCCCACTAGGGTGCATGAGCCTGCCTGAGAAGGAAGCCCAACCTGCCACATTACCACTTCTCAGGGGGGTGTCCTCATGCGCTGGGCACACGCCATAGAACAGAGCAGGCTCCGCAGGGGTCGCCAGGCTGCTCCTGTGGCCATCCAGGGACACTGCAGCGCAGAAGGGTGTGGAGTGGGTCTCTGCAGTCACAGCATCCTCCTCCGGCGGGTTCAGGCCCGTGCTGTAACCAACATCCCTGTCTTCGGAAAGGCTGGCCTGCTCAGAGTGCAGACCCTGCTGCAAGTCCCGGCCAAGGGCAGGGGCCCCTGCAGCCTCTTGCTCAGGGAGGAGACCAGGTAGGGTGCTTCTGTGCTCCAGTAATGCCCGTGCTAGTTTCTTTTCAAAAATGAATCTTGTGGTTGATGTAATGGGGCCACACTTTAGTCCGTTTTTAACAATTTCCTCTCTCAGGTCATCTGGGTTCAAGAGCTTCAATCGTGCCAAGATAGCATCCATGGTTGCCCCACCTAGGCCAGGATGAGAGAAGGCATGTGATGGCTGCAGCACCTCTCCTCTACTGGAAAGCAGCTAGCAGAGAAGTGAGCTTTAGCATTTCACTCCACCCAGTGTTTCCCTGCATTCTCTGGAGCCCATGTGCAGCCTATGAGCCCCCATAGGCCCTGCCTGTTAACCTCTAGTGCCCTGGACTCAATCAAAGTCAGTGGTTTCACTCACTGGGTGGCTTCCACGGATTGTACCAGATGCTACCCTGGCCCCTGAGACAGCAGTGCTACATGAGTGGGGTGTGAAGAGGGGTAGGACACACCCATTGTTATCACTGTCACTTGGTTTAACCTGGAGTAACCTGTATCAGGACCGCAAGGCTGGGAGTTTGAGATAGGCCCAGCGGGCCCCAGCAGTGCAACAACTGAGCGGGGCCAGAAGATGAAGGGATACCACAGAGAGAGAGAGAGAACTGGGCACTCCGAGACACATATGGCCAAAACCCAGGCTGGAGGGGCTGAGGTGGCGCGACATGAGGCCCCAAAAGATCAGCACTCACTGCAGCTAGGCCACTATAGTAACCCTCTGTGCTTTGTATATTTCTCTAAAAATCTTATGGTGTGACTTCTTGCCAGCCAGCTCCAAAAAGATTTCCAAGTTGGCTGTCAGTATTTGTGAAGGAGTTATCAATCTTTTACACAGTGAACACAACCCCCTCTAAGTGGCTCAAATAAATTGAGGGTGCTTATTGACCCCAGGACCCCATCCAGGAGGTGGACTCTCTCATGCTATGGCGGCTGTGTGGTGCTGCCAAGGTACAGGGTGGTCGAGGTCACACAAGTTAAGGAGGGTGCAGGGTCCACTGTGCTGTTGGGAAAGCATGGAGGGTGTCGTCAGCCTGGGCCCCTCTACTTTTCATACCACCCCATGTCCTGAGTCTAATGCCATAGGAATGTGAAGGGAGTTTTGTCCTTACAACCAAACAAGTCCTAAACAGAACCACACACTCTGCTTTGTCACAAACTGTATGACCTTGGGCAAGTGATTTAAACTCTAAGCTTCTGTTTCCTCATCTATAAAAATGGCCGGAAATGTAGCTCTCCTTCCCAGGCTCTAATGAGAAGTAGATAAAATAGCACATGTGATGTCTGCACTAGTTCAGCACTGACAAATCACCTATAACTACTGAACTTCGAAGCTGTTGTAATACAGACTCCTAATTCTGCAGAACACAAAATATGCTAGAACAGTAATCTGAATAAAAACCTGTGCACCCTGTTACTAATATCCCCAAGCCAAATATAAGAATCTGCTCCTGTGTGCACAAAGTGAGGATAGAGCTGGTCACCAGAGGGTGGATGGGAGCAGACAGTGGACCCAGGCCTGAGAGTGACTTCTCAATGTGAATGTACAGGCTTGATTTTTAAGTCATGTTTGTGACTCACATACTCAATAAAAAACAGGGAGAGCCTCCCCAAGTGGACTACAAACCAAAACAGACGGTGTCAGCAGACCACAAATCAGGGACAGGCAGGCAGGAAAGGCCTGTACTTCCTGCCTATAGGTGCTGTCAACAGATCTACCCCAGAGCGGCAATGTGCCCCCACCTACCACATGGTGGGCAGCCCTGGAGCAGCCTGTGCTCTGGAACTCAGCAAGTGCCTGACTACTCTGAGGCTGTGAAAGGCCCTTCCCCACTGAAAGGGAAGAGAGGGGAGGCCAGAGTAGGGCAGTGAAAGCGCAGAGGAGTCCTAAGGTTCTGTGAGCAAAAGGGTGCTCGCCACTCAGGCTGTCCCCGAGCGATGTCATCATTGATAGGTGGAAGCGGATGGGCTGCAGCCAGTCACACATGGGCTAGACATGGACGTGAACTGGACGCCCACAAATGTGCCAGATACAAACACTAGCCCATTGGGAAGAGAACTGGGCAGCAGATCTATCTCATTCCTTGATTTTCTGCTGTTCCTGTGATCAGGTGGGACACTGGCACCAGGGAGTCTAAGTAGGGATTTCAGGACAAGCTCCAGACATGCCCGGGTCCTGTGGTGGTGGCCCCTCCTCACGTAGAACACTATGTACAAGCCAGGATCCCAGGTCCTGCGGCCTAGCCCCTCCCTTTTCGTCACCTTGTGTGTAGCCCACAGTGCTTCTCACACGGGCAGTCCTGGTCACTCAGCTGATCTCCCATCACCACTGAGACCCCTGCTGCTACCCTTTGCAGCCCCCATATCCAAACTCCTTAGGACCCAGCCTCCACAGACAGCCCCCTCTTGCCCGGCTGCAATGTATGGACCCCAAGTAATGTTGGGCCAGGGGGCACAGGCCCTGGGAGTTGGGGGGAGGGGGTGGGTAGCCCACGGCACACAGGTATAGCTCATCACTGCTGACCCACACACCTTTGGGCTGTTTCTAGTTTTTTGGCAACTGTAGATAAGTAACCACATATAGATTTTTATATGAGAGTCTCACTTCTCTAGACTAAATGACCAGAAGTACAGAAGCAAGTTGAACCTCTTAAGGAATTACCAAACTGGTGCTATCAGTATCTGTGTTCTGCCCACTCTAGTAAGTGCTGGTCATATCTCCTTGTGACTTTGATTTGTATTTAACTACTGGACAATGATGCTGAACGTGTCTTCAGGTGTTTATCTGCTTTGTGCTACTTTCGTTAGTTTTTAATAAATACAAAATGAAAAGCTTAAAACTAGAAATTTTTTTTTGAAAACAGATGGCCCAAGCCCCATCCCTGGTGAGTTACACAAGCTGCCCAGCTCTGGTTTGGGAGTCTTCAGTGCATCCTGCCTGTGGCCTTGGCAGTGCTGACAGCGTCCCTGGACACCAGCAGCTCACAGCTGGCCAGGGGCCAAGAGAAGGTGGAACAGTTTGCAACCGCCTGGACAGAGGAGCTGGGCTAGTCCACAAGCCCACTCAGCAGACTTCTGCCTCTTGGGGCCACTGCACAGATACAAAGCCAGGACTTCAGATGTCAGTCACCCCAAAGCTCTCTTTAGCCCTAAGATTTGGGGTGAGGGGGCGATTACTACTATTTTCTGCTAATAAAGTTCCATTTCTGATCTGAGTGTGTGAAGAACTCTTGTTTATCCTCCTGAAGAAACCAGCATTTCAGCAAGGAGCCAGAGCTGCCACCTTAACAAGGGGGGTGGGGAGCACAGGTGCCCGACCTGGGGGGCGGGGTATCTGTCACATGCCAGACACACACTCAGCATCTCAGCATCCAGGGCACACTTTCCTGTCTGTGGGATGCCTGGATTCCCCCAGGTCTAACCCAAAACACCACTCAAGTAGGTCAGGCAGGGGGTCCAGGCCCAAAGAGGAAAACCAAACCGGCCAGTGGGGGTCCAAGTTCAGCACAAGGCCAGGTCAAATGGGTGTGGGAGGGTGGTCCACTCTAGGAAAGGAGGTCCAGACCCAGAAGACCAGGTCAGGAGGGTGCGGTAGCTCAGGCCCGGGAGCGGGTGGGTTCAGGCCCGGGAGGGGAGGTTCTGGCCCAGGAAGGCAGGATGGTCCTGGCCAGAAAAGGGTGCCTAGGCCAAGGTGGGAGGCTGGTGGTCCAGGCCAGAGAGGGTGTCCAGGCTCAGGTAAAGAGTCAAAGCCCAAGGGGG